GCCATCATTGTTGTTTGGCGGGCCCGGGCTGGGGATTCGAACCCGGCACCTTAGGTGTATGTGGCTGGCGCCTTAGCCGCTTGAGCCACAGGCTCGGAGCCTATGTGCTATTTTAATACCAGCTTCAGAAGAACCTTCCTGAAATTCCTGATGTACTGTTTTCATTATATCTTTCCTTTATCTGCTCATCACTGGTAGTGCCAGTGCTTAGTAGCTATGAGGAAGTTACTCATGTCCTTTAGATTTATCCATTTATTCAACAGAAATGTATCAAGTGCCTGTTATGTACCAGAAACTGTTGTAAACATTGGGAATGGAGATGAAAAAGATGGCAAATTGTAACTGTTATATGTATTACATTTAGTAATACAATAAACAAATCTGTGACATAATCAGTTTATTATCAGATAATATTTATAATTTAATATCTTTGTCCCTTCTGTGATTTATCTTTTCACTACCATAAATTATGACAATTCATCCCCTGAAATAGGAAGAAAAGTAGAACTTAGGAGTATTAGTGCCATTAGGTCAGTCAGTTTGGTGGAGGGAAGATGAATTTCCTCTTTTTAATTGTGTTTACTTTTTGTTTCTACCTACAGTCAAGTAGGGATAGTATTGTAGATTAACTCCCATAATTCTTGGGAAGATTACCTATTTTAATGTATATGAAGCTCTTAAAAAACAGGGCCTAGCACATATTAGTGACTTTCTTAAGAAGTGTTGACTACTTTTACTAATTTAATTTTTTCAAAAACCTTCAGTGGTTCACTGTCATCAACTGATAAGATCTAAATTCTGTAACTTTAGTTTTCGGTTTTCCCGTTTCTTGTCTCCAATAATCTTAATAAGTCGGCTTATCTTCTAGTAAAATGTTTTGATGAAAGCAAAGAAACTGTTAAAATTAGCACAGTTTATTATCACAATGTAACAGAATTGCACACACATTCAAGGACAGGAAACTAAACACAGCCTAGTTTTGTATAGATTGAAATTAATAAATCAGGAAACAGGACTTTCCCCCATGTCTTATCTAACAACAGCAAGGTCTCCTGTGCCCAGTTTCCTCTGGAGGGCAACTTTCCCTGCTTCTGTAGTGGTCAAATTTATAGCCTTTTGATTCAAGTTGCCCCTTCCAGTTTCTGTGTCTTCTAGATGAAATTTCAAGAGAGAATTTTGAGACTACTGGCCAGTCAGTGACTCGCGTCAGAGGGAATTTGTTCACAAAAGCCACAGCTTACACAGAAGGAAGAAAGGATTGCCATAGGGCATGTTACAGGGGAGTGCGGAGCTTGGTAGCACAGGGCCTGCTGCTGACTACACTCCCTCATTTTCTTCCCAGCAGTACTGCTTCTAGCCTGACAGTTTTTACCTCTGCCTATATTGACTCCTTTCTGACCTTTACCGTCCAAAAGTTTAGTGAACTCACTAGACTGGTTGACATTTCTAGAGTAGTATGCCTTGTTTTCCTGGTAGTGGTATTTGACTTTCATATTTATTGATTTACGTCATCTTTATTTGTAACTGCCATTACAGTGTTTTGATTTATTATTGAATATTTGAAACATTCAATCTTCATGAATTTTTCTGGAAATTGTAAACGGTTGAGTGAAAGTCAAAGTAATTGAATTATAAAATTCTCACTCACAAATATGATCTCTATATTCTTCCATTTCAAAGAGAGATTCCATAAGAACATTATTCACATTTAGTAAGAATTGTCTGTTTCTGTGATTCGGTGCTAGAATATGCTGGCTCCAGGGCTTTTGTTGGTTGTTTTCTCTGGTTTAAATATTTGGTAATAGTTTTTAGAATTCTCTGGGGGCACCACATTCAGTAACTCATGATTGAGATGTATTTAGTCATGAAGTTTAGAGTTTATTATTATTTGTGTAAAAGCTCCCTCTGGAAGGATAGAACTGGAAATTTTCTTAAACAAGTAGTGTTAGATGATTATTTTTATTAATGAGAGAAAACTCTAATTCTCATATTTTATAATGGAACTCATTTTAGTTAGCATATTGATTTTGGGTGTGGAAGTACAGAGTCCTATCTTATGATTACATTATACTATGATTCAAAAGAAGTCTCTAACCTAAGTAACTCAGGATTAAACAATCACATCTACGATGGGGTCATTAGGGACTTGACTCCACCAATGATTTTTTGGTGTATATGTTTATGTGGTATGGGTATATGGCACATTTCCAACCAGAATTCAGACTTGACTTTACAAATACAAAGAATGTAATATAATCATAAGTTACAACATATTAATCTGGAAAAAAAAACTGAAAAGGAAACATTAGTGGGATCAATCCCTGACCTCTGTTGGTATGCAACTGTTTAATATTCTGTCCCTCAGAGGGTAGAAAGTTGATCCGTCATGCCGTACCCTACACCTTCAGAGAAACAAAATATATATTCTGTATAACCAAATTTATCTATTTTGTCTACTTAAATATTTTTCTTAGTCTTTATCAAGTGTGTATTTTGAATGGGTTGTTCTTTATGTATTAAAATACTTATAATTTTGATGGCACAGTGGACAAAATACTTCTTAACTTTTAATTTTTTTATATTTGATTTTTTCTTCTTCCTTTTAGGGTAGAGCCTGGATCAGAGTAGCACTCATGGAAAAACATTTATCTGAATACATCTCTACCGCTCTGAGAGACTTCAAAACAACCAGGTTTAAAAGCCCTTTTAATTTCTAATACATATTTGAAAGAATCACCTAAAGACATAGAAATCAGAATAGAATGAAGAATCATTTAGATTCTAAAATCCTCGACTATTTTATTTCCTCCTTTTCTTACTACTCAGACAAATCCACTATCTTCTCAGGAAAATGTAATTTGTTAACTAAACATAAATTTTCCCTGGTTTATGTAAAAAGATATACATTATGCCTGGAGTATTCTTTTTCTAAATCATTTCTGCCTCTTAAAGCTTCATTCTCACCACCGAGTTTTCCTTCACTCACATGAAGAAAGATCTAACTATGAAATTTCTATAGTTTCTTTCTCTTTAAATAAGTAAAAATAATAACACCACACTGTTTATTTCTTTGCTTGTAAAGAATATCAATGAATTGTTTACTTCTTTAATTCATATGTATAATTATGATTGCTTGACTGTGACTGTTTTTTTTTTTAGGACAGTCTATGCCAATGCTTTTCTTGAAATATGTAAACTTAAGGGATATCATACTGGGTCATGGGAAAAGTAGGACTTCATTAATTTTTTGTGATGGTAGGAAAAAGGTTCATATTAGGACAATAGACACACCTATGTAGCTCTAGTTTACTGATCTGTATTTGTTATTCTTGAAGCTACTACTTTTCTCCATATCATAAATATTTGTAGACAGATGTAGTGACTCACACCTATAATCCTAGTATTCAAGAAGACCGGAGCAGGAAGATCTTTTGAGCACAGCAGTTCAAGACCAATCTGAACAAGAGCAAGACTCTATTTCTACCAAAAATAGAAAAATTAGCTGGACATTGTGACCAGCACCTGTAGTCCCATTTACTCAGGAGACAGAGGCAGTTGGATTGCTTAAACCCAGGAGTTTGAGGTTGCAGTGAGCTAGACTTGAGGCCATCTTACTCTAGCCTGGGCAACAGAATGGGACTCTCTCAAAAAAAAATCTATAATGAAAATATTAATAATTTCAATACCTTAGACATGAACCCTTCAAAATAGTGGCCACCAACACATGTCATAATATAAATTAAAATTAATACTACATTACTAAGGTTCTTAGTTGTTATATCATATTTCAGGTCTTGTTAGGCACTTAGCAAATAGCTACCAAATTATACCGCACAAAAGGTTCTATTAGATACTTCTCAATTACCATTCTTATTTCTACCTCATTAATTATGTTCTGAAAGGACAGAAAATAATGACAACTATAAAGTTCTCATTATAGTTTTCGTAAAGAAAATTAAGCACAAAGAAATTATATAGGCGAAGTCTTAATTTCTATGTATTAATGCAAAGTTTGACATTCTGGATTTTGAGAACATCTGGGAATTTACTGTGACACCTTCTCTCAAATGAGTCGCTGGTATTAATTGCAACACTTAGCTGCTTCTATCTTTGTAGAAATACAGTAGTAAACTTAATTTGGGAGGCACAAAGAAAAGAATTAATGTAATTATAAATTTGACCAGGGTACAAAGATTTTTAGCTAAAAGAATTGTTTGCATAAAATAACCCTCATTGATATATACGTACTGAGTTCTTTTCAAACAACATGATACTTTGGGATATTTATAAAGATAAACAGTGAGATGGTGATAAACTCTTAGATATGTGAAACGAATCTTGCCAAATCAAACATTTATTGATCATCACTAGTAAGTTTAATTATGAAAGATAATAAGTATTGAGGATAGTGATTAAACATAGACTATAGTATCAGAATCTAGTAGATCAAATATAAAAATCCTAAATTAATCAAATCACAACCATGTTTACACAATAATCATCTATATAAGTACAGTTTAAAATAAAAAGTGATAGCCTTTTATAATAGAAATTAAAATATTAATAATCTAAGTTATTAATCTTGTTTCTTAGTTTATCTGACAGGGTGGGGTGCAAATAATTCTAGGACAGATTATTTTTAGGACAAGTAGTTTAAGGGGAAATGCTTTTTGCCTTGTTCTTAGGTTTTAGCCATGATTTTTTCATAAAAAGGAAATGATTCAGCTTTTAAAAAGTCTGTGAAGTAAAAATATTCTTGTAACTATATATAAAGATATACTATCCAAACAGAATATGGCTTAGTGTATAATGTTTACATATATGTATATAATATATAAATATATACATATACATGTATAATGTTGATGCATACATAAATTTATCTGAATAACAGTGTAATAGCTTCAAAATTTCCAAGAAAGGAAGTGAAAAAACAATACTTTTTTTTACTACTTATACTGTTTTTTAAATTAAATAAAAGAAACTTTTAAATTCTAAATTTACTTGATTGTAAATCTCTAGCTAAAATAAATATATTTGGAAGATTAGGTTTGTAAAATATAAGCAAACACAATGTGTGTACCTTACCTTTTATCTGGATGATTCCTGTATAAATTCTTGTACAAGGATGAGAAATGAGCTCTAATCCTTTAGAAAGCTTGAGAGTATCTGAATCAAGTGGATTTCTTCTTGTTTTACTCTTCACAGAAAAAGAGTAATGATATTCTTTACAATGGTGATACAAGTGTTTCACCCAGCACTGGAGGAGGAGCTCTGTGAACAAAGGCAGGCAGGCTAACTTGAAAGCAGTAAATCAGTGAAAATCCAAGGATAAGTTTGGGTGGAGAAGGGTGGGGAATGGAAATACGGTAAATTTGGAGTACGTGACTGTGACTGTGGCTCCAAAATATTAGAAATCCGTGTGAACTTTTTGCTAGGGTGGAAGATGTCTTGGTGAGCAATTGAAGAAGAAAATCTTGAGAACCAGAGTTTAGGGATTGGGATATTTTGGGGAAACAGCCAGAGCTGGGAAGTTGACAGAGTGAAGATTAGAATCTAAGTTAACAGCAATAGCAACAACAACAAGAAAAGGTGGAGAATTGTTTTGTTAGGCTACTGGGAAGACATAAATGAAAAGTGAGGTAAAAACTGAATTAATTGGCTCAAAGTTTTCATTTATCTGTACCCGTGGACTAAAAAATAATTAGAAATTTTAAATTAAAAATACAAATGATTTTGGCTTGGCACCCATAGCACAGCCGGCCACATCACCAGGACTGGCGGGTTAGAACCCAACCTGGGCCAGCTAAACAACAATGACAACTGTAACAAAATATAGCCGGCATTGTGGTGGGTACCTATAGTCCTAGCTACTTGGGAGGCTGAGGCAAGAGAATCACTTAAGCCCAAGATGTTGAGGTTGCTGTGAGCTGTGACACCACAGTACCCTACCAAGAGTGACATAATGAGACTCTGTCTCCAAAAAAAAAAAAAAATACAAATGATCCTTGAAAAAAATTGAAAATATTCAAGTAAGAATTTGAAGCAACAAATATGGAAAACATAAAGATAAAATTAGCTTTTTGGAAACCCACTTATGACTTTGCAATTACACCACGGTATTTAATGACAAAATTAGTGTTCTGAATAAATTACAATATTTTAGTAAAAATAAAGGAAGTGGTAAAATATAAAATAAAACTTCGTAAATTACTGAGCTGTCACAAAGAGAAAAAAAATTGGAGAACACTTTTCTCAATTATAGAAAAGTAGATAGAACAGTGATAAATTGCCAAAATCTTTTAAATGCTAAGAATGAGTTTTGGAATCTGAATATGCCTAAAATTTTTATCCTCTTGTAATAAAAAATAAACATTATTTAAAGATGCTCATGGACTGTTATTCCCCAGTATATATAAAAACTTTAAAGAATTAATTATAAAGCCCTTATAAGAAAACATAGATGTAAATCTTTGGATTAGATAATGGTTTCCTAGGTATGAAATCAAATGCACCAAGAACAAGAGAAGAAATAGATAAATTGGATATAATCAAAATTAAATACTTTATGTTTCAAAGGATACCATAAATAAAGTGAAAAGATGACCTAAAGAACAGGAGAAAAATTTTACAATTCAAGATGAGGAAAGAACTCTTAGTAATAAAAAGTCAACCTACTTAAAAATGGGCAAAAAGACTCAATAGACATTTCTCCAAAAAACATAGACAAGTGGCTAACAAACACCAAAATGTTGTTCAACATTATTAGCCATAAAGGAAATTAAAACCATAACAATCTTTAGATCATTAACTGTTTTCTGTTTGTCTCGTCAATACAAATAATTTTTGGCTTACTAAATATCTGAAAGCTCTTCTAATAAATTTTTTTTCAAAAACTTGTTTTTTAATTTGCATGCAAGTAATAATCCCACATACATATGCTTGGAAACAAGTCAGAAAAAGCTTTATGACATATTCAGCATTATTCTGTAGTGAAGATAAGAATAATTATGGTCTTCCATAAGGACGTGTGACCTAAGAGTAATAAGTGTTCTGACTGTCTTTCACAAATAACTATTTAGAGAGAACTAGGTATTTGCACTAATCTATTAGTGCAAGACCTCCTTTCACTTTTTGATTTCTGGTATCTCATTAAATTTCTTAGCTTAGTTTGCTCTGTTGTCATTCCCTCCCTATGACATAGTCTTCATATTCTGTCTACTTTCTAAGAAAACAATTTTCCCTAGTACCTCTTAAAGGGAATGAAGTTCCTATGTGGGTTCTCTTTTAAAGTAAAACTACTGGTGCTGCAAGGGTTGCCCCTAAAGTTGCCATAAAATAGGGAAAATGGGAAATTGTAGCTAATTGTACCTTTACTTACAAAATATTCATTACAAAATTTTGCAGAATATTTACAGAATATTCTCAACATGTTGACCACCTCTTTAAAATTTGTTAATGACTATTTTGTAAATAAAGGTACATTTAGATACAATTTCCCATTTTCTTTATGTACGGCGACTTCAGTGGCAACTGTTGGGAGACCCTGTAGTATCTAAATAGTGAAATACAGATATTTTTCATAGTTTCTCATGGTGGCCTCTATATTGCAGATTTCAATAGGAAATACAAATAGGATTAGAACTGGTTTAATATGTTACTCAAGGATGACTTCTGCAATTTTTAAAACCG